TATATACTTTTAAAAAAAATGCGGTGAATGTTTACAACTGTCTGACAGTCTGAGCGAGTCTGAGTATGACACTTGACAGTTGGCAGAGTGCAGAGTGCAGAGTTGCAGAGTTGCAGAGTGCAGAGTTGCAGAGTTGCACCTGCAGTTTGAGTTGAGTCTGCGTCTACAACGGCCAACCTCATTTGCGTTTTGCCTCAAGTCCATGTAAATATAAGTTGATTCAACGTTTAACGGATTTTTTTATTTTAGCGCTGCAATACACCTTTATTCTAATACAATTTGACCTGTACTGTGACCTAAATATTGCACCTACACTATATAGTTTGGTTTCAGAGGACGAAGATCTATTTAGTATATATGCCTGTGGTCTGACCTGACTAATATAAAAAGAACACTGAAATGAAATTGTACGTTTAATAAATTATTATTTTTTAATAGTAAAAAATGCTAAACGATAATTTATTTGCGTTGTAACTTTTATTTAACGACACCCTATTAATTGTTTAACGTTGCAGCGTATACATGTACATATTCCATTGTTCCAATTGTTTTCGCCGCCTGACCTGGAATTGAAACCACACAGATATTGAATCGAACATCAATCCGGGTAAATATCCGGTATTCATTTTTTGTTGTTGTTGAAATTTTACGCTGAACGCGAAATTATACGAAACGTAAAACGTCAGTCTGCTGTCTGCAGTCACTGCACTCTGCAGTCACCTAACCTTACTCACCTGTGTGTATTTACTGAGTACTAACTACTGACTCAGGACTGTATTCACTTCAGTCTAACTCTGCAGACTGCAGGCTGCACTCTGCACTCTGCACTCTGCAGTCTGTACTCTGCAGTTTGCAGTCTGAAGTCTGAAATCTGGACTGAGGACTCTGGTGAGTCCGGAATCTGGAGTCTGGAGTTTGGAGTTTGGACTATGAGGTCTGGAGTCTGAAGTCTGGACTCTGGACTTTGCAGTTTGAACTCTCCCCACTCCCAGGGGCCTAGTGTTGCACTCCCGTCTCCCCTTGGGCTAAGCTCAATACGTTTTACCTATATGCGATAAACATTAAACGTAAACGCAAGAGTTATGTTTTTTAAGCGTTTTAAAGTATATCGGGGGCAAATCAACCTTGATTTTTTTCCTTCCTAATTTGCACCTGAGAAATCGACATTTTTTAATGAAAAGGCAATTTGAAGCTATTTACAACTGACACAAAGTGAAAAATAGGACAATTCGAGACAGTTACGCCGCCTCAAAAGACATATTTAGGATAAACTTTGAACGTAAACGCTTTTTTTTCTTGATTTTTTTTGCCTTTTTAAAGAAAAAAGGGAAACGTAATGAGATTAGCCATGGGGCCTGGGCCCCGAGTAATGTGACTAATGTTACACTAATCCTCTGCATTCTGCTGCTCTACTCTAGCTGCTCTAGTTTTGCCCGCTCTAGTAGTAGCCTGCTAGATCTTGTTGTTTTTATATATACACCTTTGTAAAAAAAAATACTATTTGTAATTATGTACTGGATGACTGATTGACTGGAATACATTTGTTTTAAAAACAAATACAATAAAACTTCCTCAACACAAGAAGTGAGTGACGAGTCATGACTCATGAGACCTCAAGTCTCAAGACTCAAGACTGTAAAAAATTTGTTTTGAAGAAAAAAAACAACAGATTTTACTTGACATTTTTTGAAATATTTTGAAATATTTTAATGTATTGTTCTGTTGAAAGTTCGATTTAAGGGCATATACATATAAGACTGTGTTATTTTTATTAGAAATAGTTTGCTATGTTTGCTGTTTGGTGTTGCCTTTTATAAAAATGCCTGTCACCTCACTTATCACTAATCACTTCCTGTGTCCAAGTTGCCTGTGTATTTAGACTGTAAATCGACTGTTCAAGGCAGCTCAAATGAGTCATGTGTTGCCATATTTTTTGGTTGTTTTTATTAAAATAAATGTCCTGTATCCTCAGAGACTCACACCTCCATGGCTTCATCTCCAGTCCTCAGACCTCAGATCTCAATCCTCCATCCTCAGCCCTCTTTTCAATCCGCAATTCCGCAGTCCTCATTTCAATCTTCAGACTCAGAGGCCAAGCCTCTGAACTTTAGACCTCTTTCTCTCAGTGACCCAGTCCTCACTCCCTGAGTCCCCACTCCCCGAGTCCCCAGCCCAAAGTCCCAGGACCTCTCAGCCTCTCGCTGGACTCACCGGAGTCCCCTTCGTATTTTTAACACCTGATGCTGTGCTTTTAGGCAATTCAGATCTGTGCACTGTGGTCAGTCAGGTGGTGATGGTCTGGGAGTCTGTAGTGGAGTGTCTTTTTATTGTGGGGGATTTGGGGGCCCGGCTGCACATTATATTTTAACTTTGAAAAAATATGAGCGAGCTGGAAATTACTAGAAAATAATAGTAATAATATTTCCTTCTTCTATATAGTATTTATGTGTCCTATCAAAATTCAGACAGATAATTGATCACGCAAAATAAATAAATTGATGACAGATTTCCTTGTTTCAGCTTTTTTGTTGTTTTCAGTTTTGTTTTTTAATCTCATAAAATAAAATAGATACATATTTTTGAAGAGTGTTTTTAAAAAATAAATATAAAAAACAACACTGGTCTGTACTCTCTCACTCTGCAGTCTGCAGTCATCACATCATGTTTGTAATTTAAAAAAAAAAGACAAATACAAAACAGTAAACACACAAACAAATTTTTGCGACTGGTTGTGACTTGTGAGTGGTTGTGTATATTTACACAAGCTCAAAAAAAGCCAAACTCTCACTCGGGAGTGTTTCTCTCTCTCTTGCCTATCTCTCTCCGTATCTCTACACTACACACGACAGTCTACTAAATATTACTGAGACTCTGAAAGAGTACTATTGAATAACCACGTACTTAGTAGTAGTCCCACAGAGTAATTAGTACTCAGTAGACTCTACTTTCTCGAGACACTAGAGACTGACAAAGAGTCATTTTTAGTACAATAAAGAGTCTCACTATTCAGTCTCTCGTCTCTCACTGCTGCTGAATTTTTATTAATAATAAATACAAATAGACTCTGAAATTCTGAAGTCTGTAGTTCGACTCTCAACTTCGGCCAGTCATGAGTCAAGTCGTCCTCAAATGCTCAGGTCCGAGACCGAGTCTCCCAGTCCCGGGTTCCGACTCCCGACTCCCGACTCCCGAGTCTATTAGTCATAGCCTTCTTCTATATAAAAATTATTTTAGATAGGCCCTCATTCCTCAGACTATTTATAGAACACGTGAATTACGTCTTTGCAAACTGATATATTCGGATTGGCTTAGCGATGAGAAAATATTACAAATATCACGAATTTTGAACGAAAAGTGCATCGATGGTGTGTTAAGCCAATGAAAACGTACAACTTCGATCGAATATTGTTCACTTCGAAGCGTCAGCTGCTTTTTGGTCCAGTAGTATACAACCAGCTCGCCACCGAGTATTAGAAAATGACGACCAATTTATGGTATTTTCTCTGCGGGCTTGCGACCCTGCGTGCGGTGAGCAAAATGCTTGGAATTCATTGTATCAGCCATGAATACAGCTGTCTCAATTGTCATCAATTCGAAATTTAGTTCGAAAATTCATCATATTTTAACTCTCTGATGCAAGGCGAGAGCAAATTCAGTGATTTTACGTTCTGTTCCCAGTTTTACAGTCGCCATGGATAGACCATTCATCATCAGCCTACACTCTTTAGTCCTATAGTCTATAGATGAGTCACTGTCACAGGTCTTCTGTCCTCTGACCTCTCATACGATTTTGTTATATATACGCTGTATATGTATATAGTCACACGGCACGCCAAATAAAGTTCATATAGAAAACTATCGATGCAACAGTCGGTTTCAAAGTCTATTAAAATCTAAGCGCGCTTCCTGTACCACTGCAATTAAAGTAAATCTTTCCAAGATATGATGCACACTATCTCCCCTTCTGAAACCCAAATGCTGAACAGTATTAATCAAAGAGAACATAGCAATCCTAAGATGCACTATGAGTATTCTGCCCCGAAAGCGACATCTCCGCCTAGGAAACAGAGTAGTCGCTCAATGGCTATCTGCTTTGCGGGATCTGCCTTGAACGACGTTAACGAACTACAGAACCATATCAGTATACGCACCGGGAATACACTTAAACGAGCGCATACAGCAACCACGCCTATTACATCTTTCATGGATTCATTTGATGGATTTGCGTATGAACAGTCTGATGATAGTTGCCCGTCAAGACTGATCCAAAATTCTTCACGAACATCGAGCACGAGTTCAGTGCACACCATAACAGATGAGGTTGACTTGAGTACTGCGAAAGTCTACGCCATTGACCCAGAAAATTTGTATGCAGGCATCCTTGTGAAAAAAAGATCAGGTCGAGGACGCGAACACTGGGCAGTACAGACGTCTGAATCTGATGCGAGCTTTGTTAGGTGTGAAACATGCGCGGCGCTTCCCAATGGACAAACCCTTTCCAGACATTGTGCCGTGAGAAGAGAGATCACTCCTATACCACGGGATATGGTATCACAACGAATAGTGGGACACCAGGCGTTGCTGTGTATACCCAGCTGGGACAATATCAGATTGAAGTCATTGAGAAAACATAGTGAGACAGTGGCAGGTATCATTTTGTAAGTGAAGTAGTGTGAAAGGGGGAGGATCTGTTGAATACGAGATAGCAGCCTTCGACTTCTCCTGTCACATCTATACCGTAGTGTCGGATGATATATACTACGCCGACCAAGACTCGACTACGAGAGGGAATCGATCTTCAAAAATAGTATTATACGATACATAAGTGAATTTGCCTGCCTGTGTAAGCGCTACTATGACTGGCATAAACAATTAAAAATACAAGACTGACTCGAGTATAGGCATTTGTCGTGGTATTCTGCTAAATCGCATATTTTCCGAATCTTCTCCAATCCATCAGTTACGTCTTCACTAAGGCTGGAGAACTACAGTGATTTGTCACCTTTAAGGACGACAATTTGCCAGCATGTATAAATACTTGTGTCTATTTTCTAGCGTTTCAGGCATAGCCTAATTAAACAAAGGCCATTTTTCAGGTAGGTGTTGTTTTTTTAAAGAAAAACAAATTGCAAAAACAGAGGTTCGGCAGTTATATACCTATGAGGTGATATGTAAAGCTTTTTCAAATTTTAAATTACAGATTATCATATACACTCTACAAGGCACAAGAGTGTAAACATACGAACAGTTGCTGGTTGTACAAGTAAAGCGCTCACAGGACAGGTGTAAATATAAGAACCGTTTCTAATTGTACAAGTCGAGCGCACTCGCTGCTTTCATACTAAATATAGCTATCTATTGAGCGACAAGCCCCGCATTTTATACAGCTGCCTTTGTGCCATGCACACGGATAGAAAACACATTAAACGCAAGCCAGGATCTAACGAATTCAAAGCCGTCCTATTTTAAGATCAAGAAAGTTTCAATATAT